AATCGCTGACACCTAGAATGTGAAATGATGAGTGTGGGTGTGAAGTATTTTAAGATGAGATTGTGGATGGTGATAGCTTTCATATCACCTCACACACACACACACACACACACACACACACACACACACACACACACACACACACACACACACACACACACACACACACACACACACAACTGTGTTCAGCTTCCGAGGATCCTGCGGTCGATCCCTGATGAGGTGGTGGAGATAATGCGGAGACGCGTTGTGTTTGTGTTTGAGGAGTTCTTCAAGTCTCTCTCCACCCAAGTGCACACAGGTGAGGGAGCGAGTTGTTGGCACAGGGAGTTGTGGAGTGAGTGTGGCGACGTTTGTGGTGGTGTGTGCGTTGCTCACTTGTTCTCGTGTCCATTCAACCACTCTCCCCATCTGCCAAATCGTGTATCATGACTGTTCTATTTGCTGCTGTCAGCACTGGAGTCTGCCAGGATCAACCTGTTCAGCGGCGACAACGCGTTGCAGGTGTGCGTGAGTGTGTGTGTGTGTCGACGTGCGTGTTCTCTTCTCCACCCATCCACACGCCATCATCACCACCGCCTCATTTTCTTGTGTGTTTGCTCACCTCCTTCCCTCTCCCACCCTCAACACCACTATCACCACCACCTTCCACACTTGCTCGTTTCCCCTTCCTTCTTTCTGCTGTCGCCACACACAGAGGGCCTTGAGCCAGCAGCTGTCACCCCTCCCCCTCCCACCAACCACCACTGCTCTGGTGGGATGAACAGAAGGGCGCTGCCATGCGATGACCTTCCAGCCACGCCTGTGCGGCTGTGGAAACAGCAGCAGCAACACCACACCACAAGCAAGCAAGCGATGAGCAACGTGAGTGCATCACTGTACGTATGTGTGTGTGTGTGTGTATGCTGCGCACAGCAACAGTGTGCGTGTTTTGTGGTCGCTGTCTCTGCTGTTCCTGTCTCCCCTTCTTGTCCCACATCAATGTGTGCATGTGTGTCGTGCAACTGCCTGTATTGCCGTGCTTGATGCGCTGTCTCATTCGTCGTTCTCACACACAACTGCCTGCACACCTGCACATTCTCCACCTTGCAGCTGCTGCTTATATTCCCCTCTCTTTCTCGCCCTCCCTGATGGCCATCACAACAACAACAACAACAGCAGCAGCAGCAGCCCACCCTCCACCGCCGATGCAGCAGCAGCAGAGAATGCACCACCACCACTTGCTGCTGAACACATTCCCCAACCAAGCAAGCAACCAACCAACAAACCAACACATTGCCCGCTGCTGCTGGCAGAAGCTGGCTGTTTGCAGCTGGGAGGGATAAACACAAAATTAGCCATTGGGGGAACGAAAAAAGCACCCCCGAACAAAAGTGCTCCCCAGAACGCAGCCAGAGAGGAAGGAGCTGACTTGAAGGCTATGAGTGTCAAGCACAGTGTGACGTCAACCCACAGCCCTTGTGCATCATCCCTCGCCGTTACGTTAACTGCCATCATTGAATTTGTCGAACCATGCGGGATGCTGTCTGCTGGGGAAAGAGTCTCCTGTATTCAAGAGACCGGCCTCGACGCCGCATATGCCGCCCTCAAGGTGGGCAAGACGCTCACATTTGAGCGCTTGAACTTCCAGCTGGCCCGGATCGCAGTCCACAAGGGCCAACACCATCAGGTAGTGTTGTGACTTAACCTTCAAACTAGACGCGATGTTCCTACTCATCTCTGTATTCACGCCTGTGTATGTGCCTATGTGCATGTTTGCACGTGCTTGCCGCGCGCATTCTTGGCACAACGGTGACCGAGCTCACGTTCGAAGTGACTTCTCCCTTGCCTTGTTCGTGTGTTACGCGTCATCAGGTGCAGAAGAAAGATCACAGGCGGTTTCAAGTCGTGTGTTGCAAGCGTGGATGCGAATACAGAGTGTACACGGTGATCGAATCCGACGCCACCCCTTGCCTATATCGAGTGACACAGGTTCAAAAGCACACATGTGCCGTAACCGAGAAGACCGTCAAGCCGAAGGTGCTTGCAGCATACGACGCCAGCATCATGGGCACGGCGAAGGCAAAGGTTGCGGCTGTCAAGATAAGATACGGCATCACCGTCACTGTACGCCAGATGCAGCTGTACGCTAGCCACGTGAATAGGATGGATTCCCCTTCACTTGCCCAAGATTACATGCAACTGCAGAGTGCAGTCGGTGAGACACAAACACATATTGCGGTGGCTCGTGCAGGATTTAGTTCTTTTGGGTACAACGGGGGTGGTGATGTGCGCATTTGGTGCTTGTCGGCTCACTTCAACGCATGTGTGTGGTCGTGTGTGTCTGTTCGTGTGTTTGCTCGTGTGTTTGTTCGTGTGCGTGTGTCTGTATCTGTCTGTGCACATGTCTGTCCGTGTGTACATGTCTGTACATGAGTGTGTATTGTTGTGGGACAAACATACCACTGTCGACAGAGTACATCAACGCTTCTGGGATCCATGTGGCACAGGCCGAGTTTGATGATGATGGCAAATTCAAACACCTCGTCGTGTGTCTGAAACCGACTGTTCTGTCTGCAAACAGCCCCTCTGTGCTCCTCGCGGATGCGACGTTTCTCACGGGGCCATCCAAGGACAAGTTGCTTGTGCTGTCACAGCTCGACACAAATCGCAACGCCTTTGTCATAGGCATTGCGATATTTGAGTCAGAGACGGCGGCAGCATACGAGGCCCTGTTTGCGATGGCCCTTGAATGCATGCCTCACCTCAATGCAAGTGATGACATGGTTTGCTCGGACGATTGCGACTTGTGATATGCCACTCTGTGTATGACTTGTACTCATCCAAAATGTGCTCTGCCTGTGTGTTTCTCCGCACCCGTTCGTCGCAGGGTCCGCATCTCATCTTCACGGATCAGGGGACAGGAGTGGGTGCAGCGCTACGCTCCCCGATCATTCCACGGTCGTGGGAACATGCCCTGTGCTGCTTTCACTTGAAGCAAAACATGGGCAAGAATGTCCGGCCGCTCTTTGAACAGGCCAGGCGTTCACGCTCGCTGCGTACCTTCAGCGCCGTTATGGACAGGATGCAGGAGTACCATCCATCTGCACACGACTCCTTGTGGGCAAAGGCACACCAGTGGTGTAGCCTCTTCATGTCTCTTCCGAGGTAAGGGAAAGGCATGTCTGTGTGTGTGTGTGTGTGTGTGTGTGTCCTGTCTGTGTCTGCGTGTGTCTCTGCGTATGCGTACGTCAGCGTGTATGCCTACCGCAGTGTGTGCGTGCGTCTGTGTCTGTGTACCTGTGCGTGTGTACGTCAGTGTGTGTACATTGCGTTTGTTTGCTTATACTGTGTGTGTGTATGTTTGTGCGTGTACCTGTGTGCGCGCCTGTGTGCGGTTGTGCGTGTGTGTGCATGTGCGTTGTTCGGTTTGTGCGTGTGTGTGCATGTGCGTTGTTCGGTTTGTGCTTGTGTGTGTGTGTGTGAGCCACCGCAATTAGCACACGATGTTGAGCTCATGTGAAATCTTTGTGTTGCTAGCTATGGCAGCAGCACCACGCAAACAGCTGAAAGCATTAATGCTGCTTGGAAGCAGTACAAAAAGGAAGGTCCACTGACCATTCTTCGACATGTGCTGAAGTGGGTCGCCAAACGACGCGGAACTGTTGGGCCAAGCAACGAAGGTGGGCGAAGCGATCGTGCTACTCGGGAGGCTTACGTAGCTGAGCATACGTGTGTGATTGGATGTGTTGATGAACACTGACACCAGTGCCTCCCCCACCTTCACAGGGTTGACAGACTTCGCAGAGCAGAAGATCTTACAGTCAATTGATTTGGCTGTGACGATGGAAGCCCTATCTGTGGGGAGGCATTCATTCAGTGTCTTCGCAGGAGGCAGCTCCACGCCGGTTGGTCCCACCTAGCAGTGGGTGTCATGGGTGCTTGCTTGATGTCACCTTGCTTGGCGTTTGCCTGATCATTCAAGCGGTATAATAGTCCTGCGAGTGCAGAGCTCATTCTTGTTGTTGTTTGGACTGGCACGGACATGCAGGTGGCACGCGTGACCGACGAATCGTGCAGCTGTGTGTGGTCGCACACACACAGAGGGCTTCCGTGTGCTCACATGGTTGCAGTAGCAACTGTCACGTCAGGTCCACTCAGAGTTGCGGCCATATTTTCAGCAGAGGTGCGCAGGAACGGATGGGACTCGATGCAGGTATTCATCCCTGGTGACGACCTGCCGCTCAACGAGGAGCACTGGGGCGAACTGGTTGGTCCGCCAGGGCGACGGCGCGAGAACAGGTTAGTGCCAGGCGATGGGAGAGCCGCAAGAGCTACGTCAGCAGTGCAGCCGCCTCCTCCTACGCAAGATGATGCCACACCAGCAGCTGCACCAGCCGTGTCCACAGTTGCGTCAGCAGTGCAGCCGCCTCCTCCTACGCAAGATGATGCCACACCAGCAGCTGCACCAGCCGTGTCCACAGTTGCGTCAGCAGTGCAGCCGCCTCCTCCTACGCAAGATGATGCGACACCAGCAGCTGCACCAGCCCTTCCACCATCAACACACATCGCCGGCTATCGCGTGGAATTCTACCATCTCAACGTGGAACCGAAGCGGCTCTACAGCAAGTCGCAACGGATTATGCGCGGGGCACGGCAGCAACCATTGGAACCCTCTGCACCGCAAACACACTCACAGCTTGTAACCGTGCAACGTCAACAGCACACACCTGTGGTGAGCACACCTGTTGTACTTTTACAGGAGGTGTATCCTCTCAATGGTGGGACTGGCAACAACAACAGCAACAATAGCAGCAGCGGCAGCAGCGGCGATGACGATGACGATGACGACCACCTCCCCCACCACAACAACAACAACAACAACAACAACAACAACAACAACAACAACAACAACAACAACAACAACAACAACAACAACAACAACAACAACAACAACAACAACAACAACAGCAGCAGCAGCAGCAGCAGCAGCGATGACGATGACGACGACTGCAACAACGACGACGACGACGACTACAACAACAACAACAACGACGACTACAACAACAACAACAACAACAACAACAACAACAACACCACCACCACTAGCAGCAACAGCAGCGATGACGACGACGACGATGACCTTTCAGATGTTTTGGCTACTCCGCATTGTGAGTGGCTACCCTCGTACAACCACTGATGTGCTTGTGCATGTGTCACGTGTATGTATACTTGCGCACGCAACGTGTGCATGTGTGAGCATGTACATGTGCGAGTGTGCGTGCGTACAGCGCGTAGGCGCTTCTGCTGCACTTAACTTGAATGTGCATTGGCAGCCATCTAATCTCTTCAATCACAAACTCACACTCCCTCACTCACTCACGCTCACACACTCACTTACACACTCACACACTCGCTCACTTACTCGCGACACTACAGTTCGTACCACGCTTCAACGGGGAAAGTTCTTCTGGGTGAAGGTCTCGCCTTCACTTCTCAGGATGCCGAAGAGTGACGAAAGGATCTGGGTGCCCGCCACTGTACGTATGCATTTGCTGCGAGTCTGGCGTTGACGGTGACCTTCTGCTGTTTGCGTCGCGCAACTTTCCATCGTCATCGGCAACCTTGAATTCACTGTGCGTGTGCGCATCCTCCATCACGTTTAGTTTGAGTTCCTTCGGGACGGCCATGTTTGGTACAAGCTGTGGGGCACTTGGAAGGCGCGACGGGTGCCCGCGACCGACGACTACACCGCTGCGTGGACCGACCACCGCCGAGACGCCTGGGCTGCCAAACACACACGCATTCGCAAGCTGGTGCAGGAGAAGGACCTTACGCCACTTGAGCAGGCCAATAGGACAACACAGAAGTATCTCCAGATAGCACATGAGCGGACGCGCCAGGAGCAAGATTCACTGCGCCAACGGCGGAAGGCGTTGCAACGACGGCGGAGGGCTGAACTTGAGGCTAGACGCCAGGAACAACTCAGACAGGCTCGTGGTACGTAGGTCAATGCGAACGGTCTTGGGTGGGTGAGTTGGTAGGCGGGCGCACGTTGAGTTGCTCATACACGTTTTACGGCGTTTTACATTCACGCGACACCCTTCAGACAAGCGAGAGGAGTACTGCCGCAGAGCGGACGCAATACTGAAGAGCCAAGGATACCATGACGTACGTGTTTGTACATGTGCTCGTATTTCTTGCGATTGTGCGTTGCACGCGCGTGTGTATGTGTGCGTGTGTGTGCATGATTTGGGGTGCTGGCGTGTGTGCCTGTGTATGTATGCCTGTGTGTGTGCCTGTGTGTGTGTGTGTGTTGTGTGTCCGTGTGTGTGTGCCTGTGTGTGTGTGTGTGTGCCTGTGTGTGTGTGTGTGTCTGCCTGTGTGTGTCTGTGTGTGTGTGTGTTGTGTGTGTTGTGTGTGTTGTGTGTGTTGTGTTGTGTGTTGTGCGTGGACGAGAACGAATCCGCTGCCGACTCACCTTTTTACTTGTTCCCCTGTCGCGACAATACACAAGTACATCAAGGGTGTGCTGGAAGGCACAATACAAACTCCGCTCATGGATGGCGAGGACGGGATGCGCCACTGGTCAGCCCGCGACCTTAGCGCGTCTCAATGTTCGGCCCCTTCGATTGTGTTTCGTCTCGGCCCTGCCGTCGACGTCGTGCACGATCTGGTTCGTTCATGGCTGCTTTGCTCAGCACGCTCTCATGTGTGTGTGTGTGTGTGTGTGGTTGTGTGTGGGTTGTATGTGTGTGTGTGCATTTACGTGTGTGTGTCTAGCCTGGGCCTGTTATGTGTGATGTTGCTTGTGCACGCGCAGGAGTACTTGCATGTTGCCAAGCACAGTTGTACCGTCTCCTTCCGTATTTGAATACCCACTTGCTGACGTGTGGGATGTCATGGATTATTCTCGTCACACGTTGCCACAGGACATGAACAAGTACCTCCATTGGTTGAGCTTGCCACTCATAACGAAGTGGGGATTCGCAATATGGAAGGAGACAGCCAGCTACCTTATTATGACCATCGAGCAGTGCTCAAGAGAGGAGGTGAGACACAACCCTCGCGTGCATCTCTGCGCCTGGTACCTCGTCTTTCTCCCGCGTCAACCCACCTACATCCTTGTAACTATCTTGTCGTCTCCTTCCCACACCCATCCACACGCACATGCACACATGCACACGCACACACACACGCGCACACACACACATGCACACATGCACATGCACACACATGCACACATGCACACGTACACACATAGACATGCACACGCACACACACACACACGCACACACACACACACACGCATGCACTCGCATGCACACGCACACGCATGTACACGATCAGGCCGATGAGTTGTGCGATTATTACGAGACTCTTGCCAGCAGCCGGCCCTTACAGGACCGGAAACCTCGCGGTATTGGACTACCAAACTCGGGAAACACTTGCTACATGAACACCATCCTGCAGTGCCTCTTCCACATCGAGTCATTTCGGCAGCATTTGACGCCTGATGTATGTGCCTGTGCAAAACGACAACGCATGCTGTGCAATGTGCTTGACCACTGCTGATGTTTGCTGCCTGGTTACACATGGACATGCAACATAATCGTGCATAGACTCAAACACGACCACGTGTGCTTGTGCGAGCGGATTGTGCAGGATGGAATCGCCGGCAATTTGGGTCAGGTGATGGCCGAGCTCGCGAGAGAAAGGGCCTTGAGCCTGGAAATAATAGACTGCACAAGATCATTTTACCGCGCATTTGTCAAGAACCACAGACAGTTCGACAACGATTACCCGCACGACTCCCATGTTGGTACTCTGGCTGTTCACCTTGTCATTGACGACGTGGTCGTGGTAATGCTGTGCCATTGTTACCTTTCCTGCTGCCGATGACATGACATGCTGCGCATACAAGTTCATCCATGTTCGCTACCACCAATGTACCTGTAGGACTTCTTATTGGCGCTCCTTGGTGATCTCCACGAGCAGCTGCGCCAGCCTTTCGCGGAGGTACGGTTGAGAGTTGGACGATTGAACGAGATGGCGCGTTACAAGGCAGGCTTAATGCCCGGAGAGCGTCTTTGTTGGGTTTGATGCGCGCCTTGTGCCTACCCCCATTTTGAACCTCATTTCCACTCGCGTTTACAGTCGCCAACCGTGATTGACCTGAGCACTGCAGCGGACGAGAGTGCTAGAGATGAGGCTTTGGAACAGTTCATTTCCCGCGGCACGTCCACAATCACAGACCTCTTTCAGGTTGGTTGGTGGTACATATGTGTGCGCATGCACAAAGTGTTACGTGAGAGCCTGTGTGATTTCATGTGTGTACATGTGCGTGTGTGTGTGTGCATGTGTGTGTGCGTGTGCATGTGCGTGTGCATGTGTGCATGTGTGCGTGCGTGTGGGTGTGTACATGTGTGCGTCTCGAGTACCAACACATGTGTTGCTTATATGTGTACGCACTTGTCGTGCGTACACCCAAGTGTGCGTGCGCATCGTGTTTTCAACGTGCATCAACGTGTTCATGAGCGGTGACCAACTGTGTTGAACCCGAAAGCTGCGTTCCCACGATTTACGTTTGATGCTGACACGAATTGACAGGGCCAATTACGCAGCGTCTTGAAGTGCAGTGTGTGCCATTACGAATCAAGCAAATACGAGACATTCCGGTGCCTGTCGCTACCTGTGCCGCAGGCTGGCTCTCATGCCCTCTTGCACTGCTTCGATCTCTTTTCACGCCCCGAGAACCTCACCGGCGATATGCGATGGTGAAATCACATTACCACGTGCTGTTCGCACTAAACATGCGTGTGTGTATTGTCTGTGTGCGTGTGTGTGTGTATTGTCTGTGTGCGTGTGTGTGTGTATTGTCTGTGTGCGTGTGTGTGTATTGTCTGTGCGCGTGTGTGTATTGTCTGTGCGCGTGTGTGTATTGTCTGTGTGCGTGTGTGTGTGTATTGTCTGTGTGCGTGTGTGTATTGTCTGTGTGTGTGTGTGTGTGTGTGTGTGTGTGCGTGTGTGTGTGTGTGTGTGTGTGTGTGTGTGTGCTGTGAGTCAGCTTCTATGTACCAACGCTTGGCTCTAACATTACGCATACCACCCCTTACTCCGCAATGCAGGAAATGCCCCCAATGCAAGACGCATCGCGATGCCGAGAAGTGCACGGGCATTTGGCGACTCCCACGCTACCTTATCGTCCACCTCATGCGCTTCACCTTCGACAAAGCTGGCATGCACAAGACTAAGACCATGGTGCGTGTTCATCCTTGTTGCACGCGCACGTGAATCCTCGAAGCAGAAGCATGAGTGTGTGTGTGTGCGTGTTGTGCGTGTTGTGCGTGCGGTTGTACATGCTGTTGCACATGCCGTGGCGCGTGCGGTTGCACGCGTTCGTGTGTGTGTGTGTGCGTGTATGTGTGTGTGTGTGTGTGTGTGTGTGTGTGTGTGTGTGTGTGTGGTTGGAAGGTGCTTGCTTGGGGAGTCTGTGGATGGCCTACTTCTGTCATGGCGAAACTTCCCACCGGCTCACTCGGCAGCTTGGCGGTGTGATGTGACAGGTTGAATTTCCACACAACCTTCAGCTCACAGGGAATGAAGTTATGGTGAGCTACTCTGCTTCTGCGCATTGCGATCCCCCCACCCCGCGCTCCCGCTACTGTTCACCATTGTCTCTGGTGGCACCCCACTCGCTGCCTTTTAACTTGCGCTGCTTCTTTGTGCACGGCAACTGTTTCTTTGTCAGGGATTTGGGGACTGCGGTCGTCGACCAGGAGAGCAAAGACAGTATCGCCTGTGTGCTGTTGCAAACCACTACGGCTCCACAGCGAACGGCCATTACACTGCAATTGCAAACCACAAGGGCAGGTGAGCGGCAGTGTCTATGCGTGTGTGTGCGTGTGTATGTACGCGTGTGCCCGTGTGTTTGTTTGTGCATGTGTGTGTGTGTGTGCCCGTGTGTTTGTTTGTGCATGTGTGTGTGTGTGTGTGTGTGTGTGTGTGTGTGGCTGTGTGTGGCTGTGTGTGTGTGTGTGTGTTTGTATACGTGTGTGCATGTGTTTGTGTATGCGTGTACATGTGTTTGTTTGTGTGGAAGCACCTTGTCGAGTAAAGGAATGTGTCATGCAACCATCACAGTAATGGTGCGGCTATGCTCACTCATTCATGACTTGCTCTGTTGGCAGATGGGAAGAGTTCAGTGACGAACATGTCTACGCACTGACAGCAGACGATGCTGTCAGCCCAGATGCATACTTGCTGTTTTACGAAGAGGTCCAAGAAGGGGAGCAACAAGAGGGAGAAGATGAAGGGGAAGGAGAGGATGAAGAGGAGGAAGAGGAGGAAGAGGAGGAAGAGTACGAAGGGGAAGAGGGGCTGGTGGTGAAATTAGCGCATGCCATGTCTCAACTGACTTGACCAACAGCAGGTTGTTGCTGCAACAAGTCCCCCACCCTCATGTGTGCATCTGTGCGCTGCGTGCGCGTGCGCGTGTGTGTATGTTCGTTGTGTGTGCACCTGTGGGTGGGTAGGGGACAGAGCGAGTGCATTTTAGTTTCTGTGTTTTGCATTTGAGTGTCTGTGTTGTTCCCACGTCACATTCGTGTTCTTTTCATCATACACGGTTTCACTTTGAGCCTTCATAAGAGTGCAAACGTATGTAATGTGCGATGCGATGCTGAGTGTGTTTAAACGATGCTGAGTGTGTTTAAATTATTAACCATCCACTTTGATGCATGTTGGTTGACTTGTTCAAGCTGTGTTTCATATGAAGTGTCGAATGCTTGAGTGCGTCACTCGAACGCTCTTCTTCTCGACAGCATAGACGCAGCACTGACCACATGTCTCCAAGGTCGCCAACACAGTCGAGCAACCGCACAGCTGTTTTTTTTTTTGTGTGTGTGTGTGTGTGTGTGGTTTTGTTGCAGTAACGCAAACTTATCAAGGCACAAGTGGACGGCACTCTGAACCCTTCTTCTGCTCTGTAAAGCTGCAAGGACTAGCACTCGCAGTTCTTGTCAATTCGAATACACACGATAACAAATAACACACCACAGAACATAACACAGAATACGGAAACAATAACACACTGTCAAAAAAAGATCAAACAGCTTGTTGTTTTGCGTGCAATTGCATACCCAACCTTATGTGTACCTGCGGTCTGCCAGTGTTACTTTGTTGTTCCAATAACGTCTCACAAGAAGGCAGGAGCATCAGGGGCAAAGAATAACTGCCACAAGTACAAGCACGGGACTCTGTACGGCCAGGGAAGCACACGTCTCCGCATTTAGCGGGATGACCTTCAAGTGGCTTCAAGTCAAAGCTTCAAGTCAGCTCCTTCCTCTCTGGCTGCGTTCTGGGGTGCACTTTTGTTCGGGGGTGCATTGTTCGTTTCTGCCGAGGGCACAAAACGCAGGACGTTTCCGAAGGAGACAGAATTTTGTCTGAGGACAATATTTCGTCCGAAAGCTGTTCGAAGGACGCGTGTTTGGACAAAATTCTGCCGGCAAAATTTTGTCGAGCCCTCCTGTTTGTCGCGCTCGGTCATTTTCCATTGAACGGCTTCACGACTGCAAAGAGAGTAGCAGCATGCCGATGCTGACTCAGCATCAGCAACTCTCGTTGCTGCTGATGATGCTGATGAGAAGGCGCAGAAGGAGGCTGTTGTTGGCGCTGCTCCTCGACGATGACGATGAGCGTGCACAGCTTGTCCAGCACACTGTACCAAACAATCTCTTCTTCGACCACTATGCGCTAGAGGACCCAGCTTTCCGCATGAAGTATTTCGTCACAAAAGCCCAGTTTATGGAGCTTTATCACGGTATACAACCATGGATACCTTCACGGCGCCACGCTCAGGTATTGTTGAAATGTGTGTGCGTGTGATCGTGTGTGTTTGCATGTGCGCGCGTACGTGTGTGTGTGTGTGTGTGCGTGTACGCGTGTGTGTGTACGTGTGTGCGTGTGTTTGTGTGTGTTTGCATGTGCGCGCGCGTGTGTGTGTTTGCATGTGCGTGTGTGTGTGCGTGTGTTCGTGTTCGTGTGTGTGTTCGTGCGTGTGTGTGTGTTCATGCGCGTGTGTGCAGCGTGCTCCTTAACATCAACCTTTGTGTTCTGGTCGCTTTCCATTTAGATCGACATGCGTGTAGTCTTTGCAGCGGTCCTGCACAGGCTGTCGTCTGGGAACACGTACCAGCGATGCCAGGATGCGTATGGGATCAGCCGATCCTTGTTTCATGAGTACGAGCACTGCATTGTGATAGGTCTTGATGAATGGTTGGCACCGTTGATTACGTTTCCTCGAAGCGAAGCCGAGGTGAGCGACGAGTGCCGGACGTGGTCGGACATGGACCCGCAATTCGAAGACTGCGTGGGGGCGGCCGACGGCACCCTGATCCACTTCACACCCCGTGGTGAGTCAATTTCTGTTTGACATGTCTTGACCTGGGTTGATTGTTGTGCGTCATTAACACCTCACTAATACCCCGATGCAATGTATGCCATTGCAGGGCTGACAGAGGAAGAGCGCAAGTCATGGCTGTGCAGAAAGGGGTTTATGTCCATGAACATCCTTGTTTGCATTCGCCACAACAGAACGTTCTCTTTCGTGGCTTCTGGATTCGAAGGTGGGCTGGAGAACGAGAGTGTCCGTGTTCTGTTGATCATGTCGTTCGCATGATGGGCACATTTCATACCAAGGCACCTTCATACTTTGCCATTTGAGCAGGGGCTTGTCATGATAGCTACATGGTGGAGCAGAGTGGATTCCTGAACACAATACCTCGCGGGAAGTATGTACTGTTTGACGCAGGAGGGCCTCTCGTCAACAAGCGCATGCTGACGCCATACAGGAGTGAGTGCGTGTGTGTGTGAATGTGTGCGTGTGTAAATGTACGTGTGTTTTGACGTGTGTGTGCGTGAACGTGTGCGCATATGCATAAGGTGTATGGGCTGTTTGATTGCACTCGGTGCATTCGATGTATAGGTTGCACCGCTGTAATGTTCCCTTCTGTCATGCCACCCATCATTCCGAACAGACACGAGATACCATGTGAGTGCGTTTGGCGGCAATCCCCCGGTAAATGAGCGGGAATGCTTCAACTGGCGCCATTCCTCGAAAAGAACAAGGGTATGTTCTTCTGCGCATGCGAATCGGTTCATAGTTGTCGATGGCATCGTGCTCGCATCACTATCATGCGTTCTCATAATCAATGGTATGCATGGGTTCTGACGCACGTACATTTGGCTGCCATCTTTGCGTCGCTGGTCGTCTTTACATCCCACCCGCACCTTTGTATGAGCGCAGGTGGAGCAGGCGATCGGTCATCTTAAATCTCGATGGAAGATCCTGTCGTCCTCTCGCTTCACCTGCAGCATTGACAAGTGTATACATTACGTCAACGCATGCGTTGGTCTTCACAACTTTATTGCTGAGCCACAAGATGATGATGACGTTGAAGATGAGGAAGACGACGACGACGACGTCGTTGCCCAGAGTCCGGCGCACGAAGCCCTTGTTTGGCGTGATAACATTGCCAACAAGTGCTTTGACACGTTTATGCAAGCGCAGTGATGGCAGATGAGCACCCAGCCGCTATGGTCGTGGTTGATGTTATTGTGAGAAGTGTACATTGCCTGTTACTCGTGCAGCACTGTAGTGTTTCGTTGGGCGTGATCACATGTGTTTCTTTTCGATTAAACTCAATTGTTTACTCGCGGAGCCATGACATGGGCACTTGCAAACAACAACAACAACACACACAACAGCAACACACACACACACACACACACACCACACACACTACAGCAACACACACAC